GAGAGCGGCAACTAGAGGGGCACAGAGGCAGGGTTGGCATTTAACAATAAGAATCTATGGGCACCTCGCCGATGCCCGATCAGTGGTCGAAAGTGGTTTCCCAGGAAGTCTGCAGAGCGCCGACTTCGTTTGCTGTAACTAATCAGCGGCGTTCAGAGACGTTCGTTGTAGGTGCGATTTTGTGCAATTGAACCAATGTATATTTTCATGGTCTCGCAGATATTGTTTGTTTTAAGTGGGGTTGTTACCGTATTTACTCGACTCTACCGCGCCCTCGATTGTAACGCGCACCCGGTTTCCACGTCAAAAAAAAAAAAAAAAAAAAAAAACTAAGACATCGATTGCAATGCGCACCCATTTTTCTCGTTGGCCCGCACGATCACACCACACGGGAAAACGACTCCTTTCGAGAGCGTCTTCCGTTTAAATATGAGGTACGAGGGAAGCTTTTGCCTATCTGACGTGCAACGGAGCATTTCTGTCACTCTAGTTTTACCGTGGCCCGATGTCAGCACACGAACTTGCTTCGCCCCCTTCTCCTCGACGGTTGTGGTGCCAAGCATGTCGAATTAAAAAGGCATCTGATCGGCATTCCCGATTCGCCCAAGCAAGTAGCCGTTGTTGTGCCACAAGTTTAGGACGAACCTCTGAAGACTGTGAAGCTTTTCTTCGTACTCTTCCGGCAACTTCCGGCATATGCCTGTTCGCCTTCGAAGGGAAAAGCCTTTCCTCTTCATAAAGTTAGTTAGCCAGCACCTGCTCGCTTTAAACTGGCTCCGCATTAGCCCTTTTTCTAAGGCTAACTGCATAGCCTGCTCTTGGAGCAGTTCTGTCGTCACGGTCCGCTGTGCCGCTCACTGCTTAATCACATACTCGCCGAGCAGCTCTTCAATTTGTGGAAACCGACCCTGCTGTGGTCCACTGAAGCCTTTGCGTGAATCTTTGCTATCGACAATATTCTGCTTTTGTTTCCGCCAGTCCCGCACGCACGTTTCGGGAACTCCGAACGACCGCGATGCGGCCTGATTTCCGTCCGTTTCGGCACACGCGATGACTTTTCTTTTAAAAGCGGCATTGTGGTGCACTCGTCGAGTTTTTGAAGTCGGCCCTTCCATGCCGTCGATGCTAATGCACTACAAGATGACAAACTCCTCAGCACACGTACGAAATGCCGCACATGGGAAACACATAGGCAGAAATGGCCGACGCACCATGCCTACGCATGTAGGGGGCGGCCATTTTGAAAGTGCCGATGGCAATAGAATGAACGTATTCATTTTATTTTCGTACTCGATTCTAACATGCATGCGATTTATGAACTCGCTTAAGCGGAAAAAAGGTGCGTGTTAGATTCGAGTAATTACAGTATAAGTGGGCTGGATTGTGTAGGTCAAGCTTTTTTTTTTCTGAAAATGTTGTTTATAATCAACTATGAACCTATATTCGTGACTAAAGAATCTGGACCTATATTCACGATGAAACCAACTAGAAATACCGAGTTTAGGGTGTTCAACTGCCTCGTCTGCAGTTCTTCAAGGGGTTCCTGCTGCATACGCATGATACATACCATAAAATCTCAAATAAAGACCCCCATCCTTCTTTCCTACTGCCTAAGTAATTGAGGAAAAAGTTAGTCATGTAATAGCCACGTACTGCCCCCGCGAATAGCAGCCGATGCACAGTGTTTGCGATGAAACCCGCAATTTCCCTAGGTATTGGTCGGTAAGTCCCTAGTCTCTAGCCTGCCTTCCGGCGCGCAGCTGGACTACTGGCCTGAGTCCTCACCACTTCTCGCTTTGTTCATTGTACGATTGGCGTGACCGAGTTACGGTTCGCATTTAGTTTAGGCGCTGCGCTCTGCTCCCTACGGTAGCTATAGTTCGCATTTAGTTTAGGCGCTGCGCTTTGCTCTCTACGGTAGCACTAAATTTGCTTGTCCCCAAGAACAGCATGAAGTCTATGTAAGTGAGATAATTAGAGGTTGCCAGGGGGACCGTCTGTTTGCGTGCAAATGTCGGCTTCTTGTCTTTTGTGGCCCTGCAATCAACAGTGGTGGCAGCAAGGACGACGACATTTGGGAAGTAGCGAATGCTTGCGTAGAATCCGATGACGACATCATCGATGGCAACACGGTCATGTGTTTGGGATGGCGTCACTTCCGAATTGAGCGGAAGTAGTAGTGTCGGCTGCTAGCGCTCTTTTGCGGAGAAAGCACTGAACTACGATTAACCTGCCGTCCCCATAAGAAAGCATGCGATGTCGCAGGCATCTTTCGAGAGAAGGCGCTGTTCTATACTAAAAAAAAATGGATCAACCTATTTTCGAATATTTTTTTATATTTTTGCCCGAGCCTATGTTCGAGTAGATACGGTACATTTACAGTCGCCGACCAACTCCAACAAAAATTGGGACTTGTTGGATATATAGGACTTGTGCACCATCAAGGTTCCCACAGTACTAATGCATTGTTGCATTCAATTTTTAAGACAAATTTGCACCCTAAAGTCCAGACTAAACCTCTTGTTTTGAGCTATGCCACTTCATTTTGAAATTTTTATTTTTTTTATTTTTTTTAAATTTTAATGCATACTGCAGACCTTCACAGGTCCAGGCAGGTGGGCACGGTACAAGTAGCAAGTACATGTTAGGCACTCAAGTCACGTAGAAAAGGAAAAAGGAAAGAATTCAACATACAAGTACAGGTTTACACACCCAACACACTGTTTACACACAGTAAATCAACCAAAGGGAATTTTTAAACAGAGTCTTTTAGAAGGTTCCATTCTTCCACTGTTCTTGAAAAAAAAGAAAATTTAAATGCATCTGTCCGTGCAAAGTAAGGTGTAAATCAGCCTTGTTGAAATTTTTTATTGGCTTGGTAAAGTTTGACTTCTAGTAGATAGTTGTGTGGCCTCTAAGATCAGAAGTGCGCACAATCTCCCAGTTTCAGAGGCCGTGTGTGATCTTCCTTGGCTAGCTCGATTGTCTACGGGACTCAATTCAGTCAGCCTTATCATCATCAATAATACATCAGTAGGTGTTTTTTTTCTGTGCGTTTTTTTTTCTGGTTGTCGTTGCGCACGTGGTCCTGTTAGTGTTGAGTTAAGTTTTTTTTAAGCCGTTGTGCTCGTCACATGTTTTCTGCTGTTCGTGATTGCTCCGTAGTTACCGTGCTTAGCTACTGACCTGAAACACACGGGTAATTTTTTGGCCGTTGCGCTAGCGTTCTGTTAGTGGCAAAATGCTGGAGGATTGTGTGCTGTTCGATGTCGGTGCAAGTAAAACAACCTTAGATTGTGTCGTTAAATCCCAACAATGTGGCAAAACATTGCATGCATTTTTTTATGACCGGCATCAAGTTTCATTTGCCGGGTGCCATGGAGCCACCAAATGGTTGACGGCAGCGACTGCCAACGCACTTGACTATAATGTTACCACAGCCGAAATAGAATCAAATTTGCTTGTCTCTAAGAACAGCATAATGCATGCAATATTGGGGATCTTTTTATGCACCTCTGATCCAAATAAACTTCATTTTCAAGTCTTCACCATTTTTTTCGACTTTTCAATTTTTAGGACCATTTTGCGATCCCCGCCAGGTTCGGAAAATTGGTCAGGGAGTGTGCTACAAATTGCTAACAATAAAACCAAAGAGGAAACAAAAAATTATGGAGCCCTTCCACTCTCTGCAGGTGGATGACAAGCAAAGCACACATGATACAAGAGTGTCGTACCATACCGATCACACACTCTATAGCTAAATTCAAAACATCTGTCCAGAATATTCCTTCTGAATTTAGTCTGTCTTCCATTTAGGGATAGACAACAGATCTTTCTAGACCCAACATTTTAAATTGCAACAGAAAGCTCTCCCTTCATGGTGGCTTATACTTGCAACGGTTCATTCGACAAGTGCAGGAATATTCTCTCAGCAGACTTTTTTTATAAGACAAGGCTCCTTAAAAGTTTGTACCACCACTAGCAATGCTGAGAAGTGATGACGATGCTGATAGCCCTCCTTGCAAATTGTGAAAACCATTATTCCGCTTTCACAAGAGTGAGTGCAACTTCTGTCAACCATCTTAATTTTGATATTTTTAGACATTTTCTAATATAAAAAGCCGGTCGAATAAGTTGGCATTGTTGTGCAGACCTTTATAGCATTTGTACCTCGTCTCTATCTCTCTAATTACTAAAACGATAGCCAGGTAGGGGGATTAGGAGTTTTTCAAGCCTTTCAGCAAGTGCCCCCCCCCCCCTTCATCGAAAAAGTTCTTAGCTACAGGCCTGCCAAGTACACTCCTACTTTGTGGATGGCTGTCCCCTGCCATAGTTTTTCTGCCGAGAGAGAAGCAAAGTAAAATAAGTTAAAACGTAACCTCACTTTGCCGTGTTGTCGATAGCCCATAATGGCGCAATTCAAAGCAAGCATCATGGATTGACTTGGAACACAGAACTGATTACATGGTTACGAATAACTTGATCTAATGACAGCTGGAAGTGATTGCATGGTCACTTTCGTATGAACATGTCTTGGCGCTCCAAATGCTCCTTATCTTGTGACATGCCTTTCTTGCCTCGTCAGGCAGGTGGTCCTGGTACTTGTCCAACTTGTTGGCAAGTGACGCTAGCCTTTTAGCTTACTCGCCTAGTCTATAAATGTTGCCTAATACATTGCATGCTGCCATTCAAGATCATTATGTCACGTAAAGGCACTGCCACTTTTCTGCTTGTCACTGCACATTTTGCTTTAAGAAGGACTATAGTAGAAAAAAAGAATACACCATTTTTGTACTTGAAACAAGACCATCAACCACATACAATATTCAGTCATGTTACAAACCAGAGCTTCCTCTCAAATCTGGTCATCCATGTGACAGCAGCTGAAGGATTCGGAAGCCCACTGCTGTCTTCTTTCTCCACACATATGCATGTTACAGTTATTTGAAACTAAAAAGGCGCACGTCAGAGTTATAGGTGTGCTTGATTCTCCCACACAGGGTTCCGAGTCTGTCACCCCTCCACAGCAGCCACTGCAGCCAGGTAGGTTGGGAATTCATGATGTATTGTAGAAAAAGCTAAGCAATGTGCTAGGAGGCAGAAATTGGAGAGCATTGTCTGTAATTGCTTATGTGTCATATATTGGCATGTGCTAAGCATGAATTTATTTAAAATGCATGTATGCTTAGTTGTATGAATTGTCAAGTCTTATCTTTTAGCAGTTGCCGTGGGAGCTTGTGCCAGCCACCGGTGCCACCCCGTTGGAGACACTCCTGGAATCTAGTGAGTTTAAATTTGCATTTCAAATGTGTGCACTTGCATTGGTTGAAATTCAGTGTCCCCGGTGTAGATGTTGATGCCTCTTGGAAGTTGCGTGAATCAAGGGAGAAACATCTCTGCAATTGTAGGCTTCCTACAATTCAGATACGTGTTTAACTCCAGCTTGCCTTGTTGAATTGTTTTGTCTAATGTGACCGTGCACTTCAACTTTTTAAGGGACAAAGGTGTACATTTACAGTATTCATGAATTTATATGAAACATCAATTTTTTTAGTATACAGTTCATCCGAATATATTGAACTCGAAGGAGATCGCGAAATAGTTAAATATATCAATAATTCGATATAAGAAGTATATGTATTTTAGGCTTCATAAATGCAGTGTTCCCACTCCTTCGCCATCTGCACCAAAGTGCGCCAAATTATTTACTGCGCCATCTTCATAATATCAACGGAAATTGCGCCAAACTACGCCGAATTCGGATTTGGGAGTGTCTATCACCGGCAATAGCCACGCCGGTGCGTCAATACATGTGCACCTTGTTTTTGGGGACACACAAGTCACAATCACATACCTACTTAATTTCGCTCAATAAGCCGGCTGTGCGTGCGTCCTAAAATCTATGATTTTAGTGCCGACGCAACTTTGTTGTGCAAGTCCACTTAGCGGCAAAACGCGCTCTCCGCCAGGGCTCGTGGCGTCTAGTACAATTGGTAGTGTGCAACTGTGGCAGCGAATCATCAGCGGACTTTGTTTGTTGCAGGAATGCTGCTGATAGTTAGTTTGAAGAGTTGCGCAGCATGTAATAAAGCAATTGTAACTAATAACTGCAGGCATGCCATCAGAATGTCAGTCACGTCTATGTCTGGACAACGCGATCTATTTTTCCGTGCTTCGTGTCCTGAAGAACACGTAAATTGTGGAAACACATTGACACCTTTCCTGTAATATACTTTATGCATGAATCATCATACAGAAGAGCTTTTCCGTAATTCCTTCTACTAGCACATTCGCGTTTATAATTGCTGTGGCGGTAAAAGACCCTAAAAGACCCTGCCCTTTCGAACTCGAGGTTGGTAGAGTCAAAATTGAAAATTCTCACGTAGTCTCTTTTAAAATGTCATCTCATTTATAAAATCATGCCTCCTGGTTGGAGCAGCCACAATTCAGTTTTAATATGCTGAACACTTGCAAGGAATTTTGTGCTGTAAGAATACTGTTAGACGCCACGCCGGGGTGATGCAACCGTTTAATGGTCCGAACAGCAGCGAAACAGCAGCCAGCGGTTTCAGCAGCAGCTGCAGCAGCACGAGCCTCTGCCACAACAAACGTCTTCTTCGTCGTCCCTAGCAAGCCCTATTTTTGTCACTACATTGACTCCCCGGTGCAAAAGGAGCCATCCTGGCGACCTATGGCACAGACACGACTGGTGGGTCGTAGTGAAGTTTTAGACGGTCGATGTGCACAGTTTCACGCCCGTGGCGCCGTTGATCTGTAGGTGGCTGAATAGGTTCAACCATGTAGTTGACTGGTGATGTCTGGCGCAAGATCCTGTACGGACCATCATACTTGGGTGTGAACTTTGAGCAAAGGCCTGGGGCCGACGATGGCTCGCGGAGCCACACGATTGTTCCAGGCGCGTATGACGATGGAGATGATCGTTGGTCATGGGAGTCCTTCTGGTGAGCCTGATCGTGCGTAGTAAGCGCACGTGCGAGCTGGCGACATTCTTTGGCATATGTGGCGGCTTCGGCCAAATTTGACGATTCTGAAGGGTCTGGGCGGTACGGAAGGATAGTGTCCAAGAACGATGAAGGTTCCCGGTTATAAAGAAGAAAGAACGGGGAGCATCCAGTTGTAGATTGAATTGCGCTGTTGTAAGCGTACGTAACGAATGGCAGTACGCGGTTCCAGTTCGTATGGTCATCGGAAACATACATGGAGAGCATGTCACCCAGCGTGCGATTAAAGCACTCGGTCATCCCATTGGTTTGGGAATAATATGCGGTGGTTGTTCGATGCACGATGTTGCATTCACGTAGGAGGGCTTCTACAGCTTCCGACAAGAAGGAACGCCCACGTTCACTAAGAAGCTCACTGGGTGCACCATGCCGGAGGACGAGGTTGTGCAGAATGAACAAGCTGACTTCACGCGCAGTGGCCTCGGGAAGTGCCGACGTTTTGGCGTAACGCGTGAGGTAGTCCATGGCTACGATGACCCAGCGGTTTCTATTTGGTGTGTATGGCAGGAGACCGTACAAGTCAATTCCGATGCGGCCGAAAGGCCGAGAAAGACACGGCAGTGGCTGGAGTGGTCCTGTGGTTGTGCGAGGGGAGCTCTTCCGGCGTTGGCACAAGGTACATGAACGGACGTACTGCCTAACAAAGCGGTACATTCCGCGCCGGTAATATCGAATTCGTAGGCGAGCATACGTCTTCACTACACCTGCGTGGGCGCATTGCGGATCCGCGTGGAATGAGGCACAGACGTCAGAACGTAAAAGGCGAGGTATCACCAGCAACCATTTGCGGCCATCAAATAGGTAGTTTTGCCGGTACAGAAGACCGTCACGGATGATAAAATGGCGAGCAGTTCGTCGAAGTAAACGGTTGTCGGTACGTGGAGACGTCTGAGACAGGTACTCTAAGAGAGACGCTATCCGTGGATCCTGGTGTTGCTCAGAGGACATGTCGACATGTTCAAGTCAAGAACATTCGTAGTGGGAAACAGACGCTGTAACATAATCGTGGGGAAGTGGTGAGCCAGAAAGAGCGTCGGCGTCCGAATGCTTGCGGCCTGACCGATAAATTACACGAGTGTCGTAATCTTGGAGACGTAGTGCCCGGCGAGCTAGGTGACCAGATGGGTCTTTTAGTGACGACAACCAAGTCAATGCGTGGTGATCAGTCACGACGTCAAATGGGCGGCCATATACGTAAGGTCGAAATTTCATGATTGCCCAAACAATGGCAAGGCATTCTTTATCGGTGACTGAATAGTTCTTTTCCGCTTTAGTAAGGGTGCAACTAGCGTAAGATACAACATACTCATCGAAGCCACATTTACGCTGAGCAAGAATAGCGCCGAGGCTAGCAGGCCTCGGCGCTATTCTGTATTCCTCGGCGCTTCTTCTCCACTAGCGTCCGTATAAATTTCTGTTGGAGCGTCTGGATCAAAGTGGCGTAAGATAGGTGGTGATGTCAGAAGATGCCGTAACGAGGCGAATGCTTCATCGCATGCTGGGGACCACGCCAAGATGTCTTGGTTGTCAGCAAGTAGCTGCGTCAGGGGTGCGATTATAGTGGCGAAATTGCGCACGAAACGGCGAAAGTATGAGCAAAGGAGGCCGATGAAGCTGCGGAGTTCTTTTAGTGCAGCTGGCCTGGGAAAGTAGGTGACAGCGCTAAGCTTGGCTGGATCAGGATGAACACCATGCTTGCAAACAACATGCCCTAATATGGTAAGCTGGCGGGCAGCGAAGTGACATTTCTTCAAATTCAGCTGCAGTCCAGCGTCCGAAAGACAAGTCAGGACGCTTGCGAGGCGGCTGAGGTGGGAGTCGAAGTCCTTCTAGAAAACGACGACGTCATCCAAATAGCACAGGCATGTGTTCCATTTAAAGCCTCTAAGAATATTGTCCATGAGACGCTCGAAGATGGCAGGCGCATTACAGAGGCCGAATGGCATTACGGTAAATTCATACAATCCGTCAGGCGTTACAAACGCAGTCTTGGGGCGGTCGGCTTCATTCATAGAGACCTGTCAGTAGCCCGATCGAAGATGTAAAGAAGAAAAGAACTCTGCTCCTTGTAGGCAATCGAGGGCGTCATCGATTCTTGGCAGCGGATAAACATCTTTTCTCGTGATCTTATTAAGATGCCTGTAATCAACGCACAATCTGATGCTACCATCCTTCTTTTTTACCAGTACAACCGGAGAGGCCCAAGGGCTGTTTGAAGGTTGTATTACACCACGTCGAAGTATATCGTTCACCTGATCATCAATGGCATGGCGTTCAGCGTGAGAAACTCGATATGGGTACTGGTGCGAAGGTGCATGGCTACCGGTGTCGATTTGGTGAACGATTGCAGATGTGCGACCCGAAGAAGTTTGGCTATGGTAAAATGACATATTGAAGCGGTCTAGCAGAGCCAGGAGTTGGGTGCGCTGAACAGCGGGAAGTTTAGGGTCAATAGATGGGAAAAAAGCCTCCGGAGATGAAGTGCGAGTGGTATCAGAGGTAATGGTGTTTAAGTGAAATAATGGCAAGTCGTCAAGTAGGTGACTTGACGAAACACAATCAATATCCTCAAGGTGACCGAGGACTTTGCCACGGAATAATATGGCTGGGGAAAGGAAGCGAGTTCGTTTTTAAATGGAGCCACGGGAGTTTTCTACGGTGACAACTGCGAACAGGAGAAGGAAGCTTTTGCGAGAGCCAAAGGCGTCGGAGGGGTAAAAGATGGCGGTGACAGAGGGCGCGTCGTCGCAGAAGAGTGGCACAAGAACACAGGATAGAGGAGGGATGGGAGTGTCCGCGGCCACGATGACTCGGGAAGATAGCGGCTTGAAAGGTCTTTCAGACGTCGGCGCTTCACACAGGGGCAGTTCAGACATCGTCGACGACTCTAGTTCGGCACGCGCACAATGAACGACGGCATGATGAGCGCAGAGGAAGTCCCAGCCCAAGATGATATCATGCGAACATGGGGAAAACACAACAAATTCGACTACGTACAAAATATTTTGGATGACCAGTCGA